ACTCACCCCACATCCACCACTCCTACCGTTTAGAGGACTATTTTGGTGACCGTTCTGGTGATTGCTTTGATTTCGACAATTATTCCAGAGACTATTCCATTGACGATTCCGCCATAGCTTTATTCCGACAAATGCTCTGATTTCGAAAATTTATACAATATGGTCATAGATTCGCAATTTAATTATTTTGCACTTACAAATAATAATTTTTATACGTCACATATTATTTTACGGTCACAATTCAAAAAATTTGTAGGTCACAATTAATTCGTTGGTCACATATTAAAATTTATAAGTACACAGTCACAAATTTCCAAATTGGTTGATCACGGATTTTTCCACGGTCACAGATAATAAAATGGTTGGTCACGAATTATATTTTTAGTCAGATTATCGAATTTTAAGGTCACAGATTATATTTTTAATCACAAAACCAAAATCACCAGATCCTCCACCAGCACCACCGTCTATAGCCACTAATACAGACACCATCACACAAAACACCTCAGATCCCACAATTAACTCCACCACAGACCACCCATAAGCCACCATCCACAACGGAAGAGACTGAAACACAGCCACAGACCACCAATCACCACCACCAACAACACCACCACAACACCGCCAAAACAACACCCCACACCACCTTACAGCACCCACTACACACCGCACACACCACGGTTACCACCATAAAAGAAACAGGTTCCTATAGAGCCCCTACCTAACAGTAGCAGCAGCGAGGGCGATGTCGCTGTCGACGCTCGCATCACCGGTTGATGCGAGGGTAAAGCACAGCAACGACAATGTCGCTGCCATGCCATTGCGATACTCTCACATCCAAGGACCTCGTAGCGACGTTTCGAGTTATCTCTGACTGCGAGTGCTCCTATCGAACTCTAGCAGCTGTGAGGGCGATGCCGTTGTCGGCGCTCACATTGCCAGCTACAAGGGCGGGCACAGCATCGACGACATCACTGCTTGATCCTCCGGCAGCGAGAGCTCTTCAATGGCGACGGAGATCTAAGGATAGATGAAAATGGAGAGGGTAGAGAGAGACGAGGAGAGAAGAAGAGGTAGAAGAAAAATGATTTAGAGTTTGGGATTAGATAGGGTGAGTATAATATTTAATTT